GTACCGGTACTGTATGTGCTCATGCACATGTAGATACCAAACATCATCATGTGCAGTATAAAGCACTCTATATTCACACATGAATCATTCATCCTACGAATACATGTATGTGAACTTATAATTTTGCACACTTTAGCACCTGGTGCAATATGAATCTGTCTCAGGTACATGTGTACATGTACATGACTGGTTATACATGTACCTACATGTACCGCATGGGCTCTAAAGACTCAGGGATCACGGTGGTACTGGTTCATGTTTGTACTGTATGTACATGTGCAGTGTACCAATGCATGTCCCATACTACAGTATATTACATGTACCGGTAGTGTACAAGCCCCTACACATCTCTTGTAAATAAAGTACATGTGTACATGTACATATATACACTGCACATAGGTACATGTAATGTATATGTAACTGGTACACAGAAACTTTTACAATGGAGCGGTAGGCCTGTATGTATGGGCGAACATGTACAGTACATGTACCTGTGCATAATATACCGGTACATGTACCTGTACCGACAGGTCAGAGAATCACAGTAACATGCACTTTCATATAAACTGTCGTAACAAACAATGAAACAAATTTACACTTCAAGACGCTGAGCTTAAGGTCGTTATTCACCCTAGTACATGTACACGTATGCCAGTGAAGCTACAATGTACATACGTGGGGTTGAGGTGAGCCTACTGTACTGTACATGTACTGAATTTTACTTGGTATCCAATGTATGTACATGTTTGTACACTGCATGCACCACTGACTTTTGCATTTTATGACATGATTTGAGTTTGTACCTGCAAATTTCACTTACAGTGTACATGTACAACAAAAAACAAAGCCCATTTTTGCGACAGATTTTTTGTTCACGGCTTTTAAGTAGTTCTTTTCTCTTCCTCTTATTATAAGATGATGGGACAGGAGCCCAACTCAATAAATCACCCCAAACTCGTTCCTTTTCAATGTCATTACTTTAAAAATGTGCCCCTTTAATTCCCACATAGTGTGTGAACATAAATGCAGCCATTCAGACATTACTTATAAACAATGGAATGTCATAATATGAGTCATACAGCCAAACATTACATGTGTCAAGCATGTACATGCTGCAAAGAGTATACATAAATGTACATACGTACATGTACATGAAGTGGACCGGTACATACATGTACAATGTACATGTATGCATATAACATGTCCGTACACCAGTACATTGGATAGACGGTGCATGAGGAAAAGAGCACATACTGATGAAAACACTACAGGAAAATGAAAGTCAGCAATCGATGTACATGTATTTTGTTCAATTCATGCTGATTTATCATTTCCTGCCAGTTCCACATAATTTTGTTAGCTTATCCATTGATTTCACACTTGACTACCGAAAAAGGTTTTCAAGAAATCTTCATAAAGATTTCCTGCATTTTCCAAGGTTTCAACTGAACACCAGGGAGTTTTGTTATATTACACTGCTTGATTCAATTTAGGCAGAAGGGCTAAATGCCCTACTGCTCTGGCGCCAAGTTAATAAGGACACATCAGTGCCAACCAAGCAATTGATGGGGACCAATGGCTCCTTACTGTGCCCATAATTCAATCATGCCAGAGCTTAAATCAATGATACATGTACTTCTATGAAGGCCATCAGGGACAATGGCCTACATGTATTTGCATGTTGATGTCCTTGGACATTTTTCAGGTTTTTTTTTTCATTTCAAACATATTCATCACATATATAGAAATTGGCAAAATCACAAAATTATGTAAGATTGCTGAAGAGAAAGTCCCAAGCTGTCAAGAGGCAATAGAAATAGAAAAAACAGATTTCAATAAAAAGAGGCAACATTTTGAAAGAAAGAGTCAAGTTTAAGGCTCTTTTTCTGAAAGTGTGATTTGAGTTTATCTTTTAGAAATGAAAGCTTTCCAAGGTTAGCGTAGTTCCTCGCAAAGCTCAAAATGTACCCGTATTGAGCATGTTACAATGAGAGAGCCAAACATACCGGTACACATGTGGGGCTTCGGGGAAGGGGGGGGAGGAGAGGAGTCAACTTACGCAGGAGCGGAGATGTGATCCAGAGGAAGAAGACCTCGCTGGCCACCTCTGGTAACCCAAGATGCTCCTGCATCCGTTTCATGATGTCACCTGCCGTCTCCACCAGGGCATTTTCCAGGAAGAATTCGTGGCCCGTACCATCTTTCAGGAACACACAGACATCAACAGCTGAGTGGAAATGTAAGGGAGAACTGAAGGTATAGTGGTGTACATTTATATTCCAAGAAATAAAATGTCAAACTTTAAATAGGCCAACAATGAACTTCACATACAGGTACAGGTAACCGCACAATTTTTCTTTCACTGAAAGTGGAGCAACATCTAAAAATTCCCTTGAACTCACAGCTTTGTATGAAATAACACACTTCATAGATCACTGGGCCTGTTCATTGTCGGGCCAGTGCAGTACTTTCATTTTAAAATAGCTGACTTGGTTCCTGTTACCGTTTTTCTGAGCCATGACAGGTGAATAGCAACAAAGGACAAGCACTAATTTGCTGGTTTCAACATGAATTTTCCTGCAATGGAACCAAACATTTTTAGTTCATCCACAATAAAGATGTACACCAGATTGAGGTACATGTATGTACATGTATATGTAGTAAGGTCCTTCTGATCAGACAGATAAATACATGTATATGTATCTTATCTAAATCTGATCAAAACCCTGGATCAATCCAATATGCCCAATGACCTTTGTGGTTCTACATGTACAGTATCTAAATCCAACAAAACATACTAAATCCAATCCAAATACAACAAAACTAAACTTTGATAACATGTATGTACATGTATCTCAAATCACCAACTGTAATGTAAATTTAACAAATTGTATGGCATAACTTTCTGACAAAGTTTAGGTTGTACCAGTACATTAAAAAGTTACGGTATCAGGTTCACTTACATGTACAATGTACATGTATTTACTTTTTGTGATCTCAACAGTTTCTTGGATGGGCAAAACTACAGACAACTCTTCCATGTAAAGTTATAAAAAAGCTTCACACTATTTAACCTGTAGTATTCATACAAACTCAATGCAATATACATGTATGTAATAAAAAAAAACATCTGCAGGACAGTGCTGGGCTGTATTCAGTTTGAGAGTAACTTGACTGAATAGTGACAGCACCTGATGGAACACCATTCTTAAATTATAGGCATCATTACATAGAAAATAAATGCATAAAAATCCAGGGGATCGTGACAACTGGGGTAGGGTACATGTACATGTATTGGTTACCGTGTGAATGGAGAAAACAAATTTATCGAAAATGTTCAACATAAACCCAAAACGTTCATTAAGTTCAGCGATTCAACATTAAACCTACATGTACATGTATAATCCTCTAAAATCCTTCAACATCCCAATGCCATCTTAAGGATTGCTCCTACATAACGTTTGGAGAGGGGATTTGAAAGCCCCTAAAATGTCTAAATACAAAGAAGCAGGCCAGGTGTTCATGTGGTTACTCGTCAGTTCTCAATTTTTAAAGGGAGTCAGGTCGGCGCAGTGGTTCTTTCCTTGCCTTCCACCACTGCGGCCCAGGTTCGAATTCCGGCCCGGTCCACATGTGGATTGGGTTTTCAGTCCCTATCTGATTCCGTTGGTTTTACCAAGAATATTCCTCTGGGGTTTTCCTCCCACCTCTAAAACTGCTCACTGTCTCCTCTCTACAGGTTTCTTCAGGCTTGCAAGCTACAGTGCCTAGGGCACTTTTGAGGTGTCAAAAAATCGAGTCCTTGGTGTCATTACCAGAAATATAAAATAAATCAGATTCAAAGATGATAATAATTACTAAAAGGTCCGAGAATAATGTTCCTAAGAAGGTCAGATTGCAGCCTTCGAGTGTACTAATGCACTTGTACATGTCGATGTGTTTATTCTTGGGTTAGGGATACCACTGCCAGACTGCAGACAAAGCTACCGGTAATTCGCATGCGGCCCTACATGTACATGTCCAACGCTACTGACTAATGCTGCAAACAGAGTTTGAAATGGACAAACCAATCTACCAAGTGACCATCCAACACATATAGTTTCTTCCGTCAGGAATGGTCTCAAAACACATACATGAACATGTACACATGTACATACAGAATACACACACAAAGTACATGTACCAGTACAAACAGCTTACATGTACAGTACATTGTACAAATACTGTACATGTACACGGATACACGTGCATGTAGCTTTCCATTCAACATGCTCAACACCTTTCAACAACTGTTCCCATTTACAAGAACCTTTGACGTCAAACCCTATTATGTTTCACTGTGTCCTGTCCAACCGGATTTTGTATTATATCACTCTGAACAACAAGTCCTCGAGTAAAACCATTGAATAAAAGTCCAACAAGCAGATATAGTGAAGTCACTGTACATACATGTACCCCCCGGAACAGTGTACTTACGACAGCAGGTTTGGCTGACAATCTCATTTGAAGTTATACACAGACGCTTATTTTCTCAGAAAACATTTCATCCACATGCAATTTGAATAGTGGTGTTTACAGGATAATTCGTGGAAAGAGCAAAGGTAAACAGATTCAAGGACACACACAGCTGATTCAGGCAGTCTGCATGACGATGGCCGTGTACATGTAAACAATGTACATTTATACACGTACATTGTATATATTGTATAACACATCTACACTATGCCTGCAGTGGTGCAGCCCATACATGGGTAAAACAAAAAACTTCAAAATGTAATATGTTTGAAGCATCGCCTTGCACATGTATATTGGTACATGTACATTGTAGATATTTGTGACAACAGTTTATTTCTGTATTTCCTCCAAAGACACCGCACACCTTTGCGCGTACATGTGGAAGCGGCTTCCTTCCTGCTACATACATAGTGTACACATAATTTTCTACCAGTGTGATATACAATGATACAACACAGATTTTTAAATTGTACATACAGTGTATGGTACATGTACATGTAACTATGACAACCTCCTGCATGTACATGTACCATGTACCCAGTACGAGGACATGTACAAGGAAGTGTGGACTCGTGAACAAGAGCTGCATGAATGCGAACCTTGTAGGGACTGCAAGGTCTACACAAGGTTGTAACTCTTGTCTGGAAAACAGTACTGGAGACATTTTTAGGTACATGTAAGCTGGTACTCCATGTACTAACTGTACATGTACCGTACATGTAAGTAAGTGTAGATCAAGTCATTAGCGTTCATCTTTGCTAGTACATGTATGTATGAAGGCCATACCGGTAACAATAACTCTAATTCCTTAGGTGTGTGAAATATCATTGAAGGATTGAAGAATTGATAGAGTGAATGTATGTTATGGACACATACCGTACATGTAAACATACATGTTCACGTGTGACACTGTTTCAAAGACATTTAATTCAGTAATGTTCAGTGGATTTTACCACACTTCCATGGGCACATTTACTGTATACATTGGATACACAGTACTCGGTTTCATTTTGTGTGACTGACAGTATGCTTTAGATTCGAATTCATCATGTTCATGTACCTAGTTCAGTGACACAATGATAATCCACGAAAGCACCTTTATTCATGTTCTGCCAGACTGGTTTTATATCCCATTATAGCAACATCAGGAGACACTGTATGAATAGAATGAGACAGCCAAACAACTGAAGTCCGGATAATCCTCTCCTTGCAAAAACTCAAGTCAACAGACTTTTTTATAAGTATGCATGGTACCAAGTTCCAGAAGAGTTTCAGCATTTTCACTGATTCTCGTTGTAAAGATGCAATTGCTGTACATGTACACATACCTTTGATGGACCTGGTTGAGATGGTACTCCCAAGTCGCTGCACACCCCCTACGGGACTGAGAGGACCCTGCGATTGTTGTTGCTGCTGCTGCCATTGCTGTTGTCTCTGTCGCTGCATCATGCCGCTCCGTCCACTGATCTCACGCATCTGAACACACTCTGTGTCCCTCGACAAACCTATCACATCGCCAGACATCTGGTAAAAGGGAAGGGAGAGAAAAAAAAAAGGAGAGTGTATACGGACCAATCAAAAGGAAGTCACGCTTGAATGGGATGACTGTAATGAAGGATGCCATTTCCATACATGCATAGAGGCCCAACCAGGGAAGTGATAAACATATATATACATGTAGTGCTAGGGTCCACATGTGTATTACAGTCATGACCATAACTGTGTCAGTGATTTGAGTCAAGGATAAAAACTCACTGAACAGGGACATTTGGTTGGAGGCCAACTTCAAAAGTTATGAGAGAGCGAGAGACTTTACCGGGTATAAAAATCTGGGCAAATACTTGTACACAGTACACATGAGGTACTGTGAATTTACAAAGTACTTTGTACATGTACATGATACATGTCCAGAGCATTCTCCTTACACTGTACATGTACAGATACAACATTTACACATTTAGGCCTGTTTACATAATGTACATGTATACCGTGTAGTACACGTACCATGTACATGTACATCAGGCCCAAGTGATACAATTACCGGTAGATACATAATCTGTATACATGTATGCGCATAACAGGTTTACCGGTACATCTACATGTGCACTACATTTGTATTTAATTAACCCTCCTAAGCAAAGACACATTCTTGACACAGTTGTCCTATCAGTCAAAACCAGTCAAATTTCCTATACAGTATGTGTCTGTGTACTGGGGGAAATCAAGTGGAAGTAATTTTTGACTGTTTCTGAATGGTAACAGCAAAAAGGAGGGTTAACAACATGCACATGTACTAGTACATGTACATATTAACAAGTTACAGTACAATACTGGTACATGTGTAATTTGTCAAACTGACTGAAAAGTGCTATACACTGTGTACGATTGTACACGTCAGTAGGGACAGGCCACACTCATTGCACCATGCACGCAAAACTTAAACATGTTAAAACAGCAAATTTAGTAACAAATAACGGTAAATTTGGAGTCCCATGCATGTAGTGTGGGGTGTAAATCTCCAAATCAATTAACCCCAACCCAATATAACTACATTGGAAATAGAACAAATTAGATTAATCTATTTCTAATACATGATAGCACAAAAAGTATTTTTGGCAGTCACATATTGGCACAAGTACACGCACGTGCAGCAAATGGAACAAGAGAAAAATATCAAGTGGTAAAAGTACACAAACTTTACACAGTACACAAAAATTACGTACATGTACACCTGTACTACATGTACATGTAGGCTAGTGTTGTACTTTGTACATGTACACACTGAAGAAAGCGAATGAGAATGAATAATATTTGAAGCTTTGCATGGTGGAAGAGACGTGAGAAATGGGTTTGCGGGTACACCGTGGAATCAAGCTCTTTTGGGTAAGGTGTGCATGGTTCTTAATAGAACCGGTGAGCCTTAATTAGCCATTGTGCTCTGGCCGTCCTCTGGCCGTCCTCTGGAGAGTGGAGAGTCCAGACGACGGCCAGAGCATACTGGCTGAAAACGTCGAGTGAACACTCGCTGGTTCTTGTAAGAACCACATGCACCTCGCCCAAAAGAGATGGATTCCATGGTGTACTCGCAAACCCATTTCTCATTAAAGGGCATGACAATTTCTGGGGGTAAACTGTCAAGAGTTTCAAAAGGAAAATTTAATGAGGCATCTTATCACCAAGATAAGAAGTTAATCATTGCATACATGTACATGTCATCTGTGCTCAGCATCATGAGCACAGGAAATGTGGGCCATGATCATGTGGGTTATACAATGTACAAGCTTCTACTTTGACGTCACTGTAGCCCTTGGCGAGTAAACAATGCAAGGGTTGCATTTCCTTGGTTTCAGGAAAGAAGACAAGTTCAAGAGGGTTCCAAGGGTTAGAGTTGGTGCCAATGAACAAACAGTGGAATTTAACGGGCAGTTTATCCAATGCTGTCAGGGGTGTATCCTGGGTGTTGTAAATCCAACACCAAGGATATTACATGTATCGGTACATTAGCCATGAAAGATACATGTACATGTTCATGTACATGCACATTTCTACGGTAGAACTGTCATGTTTAGGATCTTATATTTTGTAGATAACTACATGTAACAAATCCTCAAATTCATTATTACCGGTATGTACCGGTACATGTACATGTACAATGTACAATGTACACTGTTATTCTTAAACATGTAAGTGTTAAAGTTTTTTAGAATCTAGGAAACCAATTAATGTGAAATTCTGTTTTTAGAATTCCCAAAAAGTGCAATGCACATACATGTATATGTGTACATATGTACATGTACTGGTACACAAACACCGGTACGTGAACAGTGGACCATAAAATCATGCTACCGGTACATGTAGAACTATGATCAACAGTAAGTAATCGACAACTGAAAGGGTAATTTGAATTACAAATGTACTTGTAGACTTCACGGTCTTGGCCACGCATTAATTATTAGTAATCAATTTCAAGTCCAATCCCAACGGCTTTTTCAAAACGTCGACATGAATCAGATACATGTACATGTAACCATACTGGTACATGTACTGTACATGTACATCAAGTACCATAAAGCTACACGTGCGGTAGTTGTAGAACATTTTTCCTTGCACCATTTAAAAGAATAAAAGCCTACACGTACTCTGTAAATGCCTCCAAATTTTGAGGACGGCAAGAAGAACCCTTAATGTTGGAAAACACTTTGATTAAAAGATCAACCCAAAGAAACATCTCAAACATGTAAAGAACTTCTGAAATACGTTACGTCTAGGTACCATATATGCAAAGTCCACTCCGGGGAACATGAATTAGGGCCTACTCTATAAACCATGGAAAAGTCAAAATCACAGCATGACGAGTGTACATACCTTTAAACAAGCTCGACTTTGGTTTAGAAGGAAACCAAGAAATGGTGCAATGAGGGGCAAGACAGTTTTCCACCACCACTGCTGTCATAGTTCTATGAAAATCAACCGTTCAAGGCTAAACACATGCTTGACTTTATTAAAATCCGCAGTGACAATCCAATGGCAAACAGACTGATAATAATAGCGAGGCTCACTATTGGCTGCTTGGGTTTGATGTCACAGTCTGTCATCCACTTATCTGGTGTGCAAATACAGTGGGCGGCAAGCTGGTAGCCCACAATGCAGGACTGGTGCTAGATTTGCCAAGTCACCATGGTACCCACTCCCTAGAAAGTACTCAGAAATTTGCCAAAGGACAACTAAAAGAGTTGACAGGGCCACTGAAAAGGTCATGGGTCAGACCTTTTCATCTTTCACGCTCAAAGGTATTCTTTCCATAGTGTCATTACTGTTATGTCTCATCAAATTATTAACGGTTGACAGACTTGTAAAGTTTAGGGTCATGCTCAATCTGTCAATCAGCTTAACAGGCAACTCAGTCCCCTGCATGTGCTTATTACTAAGGTACCGGTATCAGTCAATGAATTATGAATCATCCTCACGAAGAATGACACAAAGGAAAAAAATCTTTAAAATAATGATGGAAAAATAATCAGGTGCACCTGTCCCAGCTGCCAATCTAAAGTGGACTCATTCTTGAGTAATATTCATAAATACATGTACCGGTAAGTGTTTAAACTATTCAGTTTTGATTTCAACTTCTGATGTTAGTTTCTTGTTTGTCATGTTTTGCATGTACACACACCATCCCTTCCACGAAAACTTGTGAACATTTTAGGCAGTACAAAAGAAAAAAGTTTAATTCGGCATTTAGACAATTCTTTTAAGAAATACTGGTACATGTACCTACATGTACCCGTACATGTACAGTGTACTGTACTGTACCGGTAGATCAGAAAATAGTGTACAGAAAAAGGAGGGAAATGACACTTAAAATCTACAAACTTTTGTACAATATACTGTACATGTACATGTATAAAACATAAATGGCTTGTATGTGATCTTTTAAAAATTTTGGAAAAATTAAGAACCTACAAAACATATAAAAACAACAAATTCACAGAAAATACCAGGTACTCCAATAAGGCTTCTACACATGTACATGTACATGTACACACTGAACATAAGGTGCAGTTATTGGAGGAAGAACATGGATGAGTGCAATAATATTTTTACTCTCGGACTTGTTTGGAATCCAGATTAATAGGAGGCCCACTTGTAACTGCCCACATATACATGCATACGTTGTACAGTGCCGTGTTTGTACATGTAGGCCCTACCGGACTGGTACTTTGTCAATCCCAATATGTCTGCACGAATTCACTCCCAAGGAGCTACATGTACATGTAGTTTGGACTTACATCATGTATGGTCTTGTTTTCGATTTTCCCCATTAGATTTTTGCTGTACATGTATGTACAGGTTCATTCCCATGGCTTGGAGAAATTGTACAGAGAAAATACCGTACGATAGTGTCAAGAGTCTTCTTCTCCTCCCTGACACCATCCCTTGACAAACTGTACGGGATGTATGTACTACCATACATGTACAGTGTAGAAGCTAGTTTTCTTCCACATCAAGTGTTTGATTTCCTCAAAATATCTGCAGAGCAAAAACTGCCATGCAATATTTCTTTTGCATAGCAATTGCCTAATTGTTTGTAGCATTTTTTTCACACAATATGTAACTGCATGAAATCACTATAAAAGAAAAATAATAAAACAAAGTCTTCAATGATGGTCTATCAAATCATTTTCAGAGCAAGTACACGTAGGTTCTCAGTTTAAGGCCGAAAAATGTTTTATAGTGGGTAAAGTAAAAATAGGGGTAAAATACACCGTACAGGTCTGCGCACAGGATCTGCCTAAAAGAGCTGCACATGATGAACATCAATGGCTAAACACACATGAGTACATGTATCCTGCCCCTTTTTTCTGATGAACTAAATTGCAGTGTTGAAAGAATCTGGCCTTTATTTGTGTCAGCTTTCTTGAGTGGCTGGTGATCGCTTACTTGCAAAAGGATATGTTGATGTACATGTACATGTACCTATAAGGGAACGTTTCATAATTACAGAAGGCGGTATTTACTGCGGTACCGCTGTATTTTAGCGGTACCAGCATTAAGCCCTTTCGGGTAACTAGTGTGGTGCCACTAAAAAAAAACAGCAGTACCGCAGTAAATACCGCCTTACAAAAATCTTGACTCTCGTTTCATTTCTGATGTAATTTTTCCAAAATGACCTCTTTCACCCTAAAAGCCAAGCATATTGTTTGGCTCACAGTACTCAGTACTACAAAATACTAAGTAATAGCCTGAGCCTGAAGGACCTAGCACTACAAATTACTACTTCTGGCTAGGTTACTTCCATTGTTACTCATACAGAGAACAATAAAGCCATGTATTCATAGTGCCTGAGCACTGTATGGTACATGTACATGTATTGTCTTTTCTATTGTAAAACATGTATTTTTATATATATTTGTATACAAGTACATGTACATGTATATATGCAATATGTGCAATACTGGTAAAATCGTGGCTAGAGATACTCTAAGACATGAAAAGCTATTATATTGATTATAATGTTCAAGTGTGCATTATTGTCACTGATTTTGTACATTGTACATGTGTATGGTTTAATCATCAACAACCTGCCTGTCAGTAAGACCGAATATTCGCATATTCGATTGAATTGAAGGTCGAATATTCAAAGAGTGAATTATTTGAATTGATTCAGCTTTAGACACTGATAAAATTAAGGACACTGTCTCTGACAACAGTCACAGATGTTTCCTAATAACACTCAACAGATATAAGACCAGTTCAATCAGCACTATACTTGGCATGATGTGGACCATTAGCCTACGTACATGTAGGTCAACATGAAATAGCTGCACTCAATTTGTGTTAATACAAACCTTCAAAATCCACCTTTGTGTGTCAGTTAATCTAAATTGTCAACTTTTGTTTCACTATTTCAAAGGGTACATGTAGGCCTACATGTACACATGTACATGTATCGGTATTTTACTGCCTTTTGGGTTTTCATGCTGAGTATTTTCATATGTATGAGCAAAAGTGTGATGTCATCCCACCAAGAAACCCTTGTTTGGCGCACTGTTTAATCTTGTGCAAATTTATTGTACTCCTCCATCTGCCTGTGAATGAAATCCATTCTGAGGCTCATCTTGAGAAAAATATAAATTTCCCCACAAGTCAAGACTGTGCTAAACAGCCTCAATGTTACATTGGTTAGCACACAAAAAGGCCTGCATTTTGTACGGTTTTGCTGGACTAAGTTTTCCGTTCTTTGCTGAATCATATTGTTGTACACGTATATCTCATACATGTAGTGTGAGTAAATTCTGGGTTCATAATTTGAACAGAACGCACTGAAGTACTGGTACACTGTACCTGTACATGTACAGTACTATGCCTACGGCCATTTTTCCAATGCTCAAGTTTGTCTCTGTAGCACTACTACTAGCAGGCTTTGTCACCAAACTCAATCCCTGATTGTAGGTCCGAAGCATTCAAATTAGATTTAAGTACTGTAATAATGGAAAATGGCCATTGTCTGCCCTGAATGACATCACAGAGTCAATGGCCACACTGAGTTGCCAACAAAAGTACAGACAATTTGAAAAAATGGTTGAAAATGTCATACGCAAACAGCATAGCATATACATGTATACACGTACATGTACATGTATGCTCTGGAAAGTGTACATGTACACTGTCACTGACCATGCTGGTTGTACAGTCCTAACAGTAGGGGCGTACATGTAATAAATTAAAATGATGTACATTTTTGTACAGTACATGTACTAGGCTATGTTTGTATTATGCGTCCTGAGCATACAACACGTTGTTCTACGTGTCCTCCTTTTCCGTGTACCACTTTTCATTTCAGTACATTTTCAGGAAAGTAACAGAATTCACATACATTATTGAAGAACACATGAGAAGAGTACTACTACTAGTACTCCAACTGTAGTACATGTACTAGTCTACTAGTTACAATGACAGAAAAATGATGTCTAAGGAAAATTCATTGCAGCTAGGCCCGTACTTTTTTTTTTGATTGTAGTATATCTGTTATTATTTTCTAGTAATGACCCAGCACCTCATGTGTAAGCAGGCAGTGTTAAAATGTTAAAGACACGTTAAAGAACAACATTTAGGTAAAGGGTGAAGCACAGATTTGCTTTTGTTGTACCCTAACCCATTGACAGACATACATATTATAACATAGGACAATACAAGACATGAACATGTGTTTGGCAATGATACACACGGACAAACACTGACAGGCAGGAGATAATACAATGCATCAAAGTACAATTCTAGTCGGTAGATTTTTCAACTTTAGAGCAAATGTTAATAAAGTGGGCGCTGCTTTTATAATTTCATTTAGGCTATTCCAGTATTGGACACCAGTATTGGACATTTTAAATTTTCAAAATTTCTTTTCCTATGTACCATTCCTACCTTGAACTTTTATTCAAAGAGCACTGTTTCTGGGGTGAGTACGTGGTGTAATACAGCGATGCCAATCATGTCAACTTCGAGTCTTCAGCCACTTCCGGCTCAGCGTATTGAGTAGGTCCCGCGCTGGGGCCGGTGACTGGCGATGCGGTGTCCCGTGCGTAGCACGCAGTGATGTAAACAGCCTACATGCACACGTACGTAGGCCTACATTTCGAAAAGCTGAAGTTCAACGTGTTGAACTTGCTCCATAAGAGGAATAAGATTGTACAAACCAAAGCGCAGCTACCAAGTTCGTAAAACCACGGAGCTATGGTTAAAAAGCTTTGCGAGCTTGCTCGCGAAATTACCAGGTCGTACTAATGTGCAGCAAAGGCCGAAGGCAAAGTTCCACGCGTACAATTGCAGCCACTGTAATTTATAAAGGTGTCAGGTCAACTCGACCGGTTGACTCGACTAGGGCCGTTTTCCAATACTCAACTGCTGCTGCGTCTCAGGCTTCAACTGTTTTTACTACCTGACTTTGAGACTTTGAAGCTGTAAGCGCACCAATTAGTCTAGTAGTACCACAAAACATAAAATAAGATGCAAGAGAGCAAAAGCTTACAGTAATCCAATTTGATTTGATCAATTCGGGGATAAGTTTTGGGACGCACCTGAGACGGAGACGAAGTTGAGTATTGGAAAACGGCCCAAGGCTTTTGCTTCCGTTTTTTTTCAGTCTTGTACCTAGACGCAATCACAGATTATACTCTGATCCCTACACACTGACTACACACTGTTTTTTGAGTGAGGGCGCTCTTCATTCTATCAACAAAATAACGATCTTGCCAACGCGAAGCGACCGACGCTGAACCACACCGTACATGTGTATATTTGCACTTTCCTTAAGCAATAATGGTAAAGAAAATATTTTTGGGGGAATTTTGAAGCGCACCTGCTCCTAATGTTTAGTTTAAAGAATTAGTGAGAAGAAATGCTGTATCACGTTTCCAACAGGCAGTTGGGCAAGCACACCTTCCGACCTGGTTCGTCGTTTACGTACCTACCGTCTGCCAGTGATGACATGTTTGAGTGCCACGCTCGCAGCGCCAGGGAGGAAGGAACCGCAGAGTTTTAGGAGACCCTCTGTATGTGTTTTGCCATGGAGGAAATGTGTTTTATTCCTCCATAGCTAGGCCTAGACCCACTAACTGGGGGCGTTAGATGAACTAGAACTTTTTTTTTTAAATTTTAGACCTTACATGTATGCCCTACATGCATGTATGTAGCCCCAGGCACTAGTGTGGCACGGATCACTCCCGATTTATCGTTAAGGATGGATTGGGAGTGAGAGTCCGTGCCACACTAGTGGGGCTAGCATGTATGTAGATCAAGTCCAAAATTAGAAAAAAAACGAAGTTCTAATGCCCCAGTTAGCTGGTAAGGCCCAGTGGGTCCAAGTTTGAAATATTCATGAAATAGTGTTTACTCACCAATCTCCCATTTTCTACCCAATGACGCTTGCACCATACCGTACACTTTGTCATTGTGTGCATCACATGGTGCATCTGTGGGGGCTGAGCTACATGTTCATGTAATTCCACTTCGTCAGTCATGTCAGTTCAACCATTTTTGGAGGGGGGAGTAGTGGAATCGTGTTTTTATCGCATGAGCAGCCTAGCTGTATAATTGAACTGATACTAGCAGGATACCATGACACTACCTGTGTGGCTGTGATAGGTACATGTAATATGTACGCCACTTCCCAGGCCTCCAAAAATGATCGGTTCTGTTTTCAAGAGCTACATGTATGGGTACCTCAAGGTTGTTGTCACTGGGAGATTTGATTGCAGAAGTGGAATTTGTATCACCAGTAATTTACCTGAGGATGGATTTTTTTTAACTGATATTGTTACAGCCCTGTATAAGCAAAATGGGCCAAAAGCCACATGAAATATTAGAGTAGTGACTTACAGAACTTTCCGCAACTTACACTGTACATGAGGCTCTAAGTTAGTCCGAACTGCAGTAGACTGCATCTTAACGACTTCCCTGTGAATTTGTATGAGTTTGTAATACTATGGGTTTTTGAATGCAGCCCAGGTAGATCAAATCAATGCAGATCAGGGTGCATATTCTTCAATGAAAAATTCCGCTTTTTTCGGTCACATTTTACCTGAAAAGCCGTCCAAACTGATCCATATTTCTCTAAACTGCTGACACTTTTTCCTGTTGTTTTTAAGACCATGCAGCTGACTGTTTGAAAAAATCTGAGCCTTTTACTCACTACCTTCTCATTCTTCTGACAGTAATGATCCACACACCCCACGCACTTAGTCAGTTAGTATGCATTACGCACTGCACATGTTTCAGGTTGGTGGTCGACCGTTGTGTATCAGCTCGACCACTTTTGGAGGTGGGGATGGGAATCTTGTTTTTTTTTCCATTATCAGAGTTGTGGCTTATGAAGTTCTGGAATATCCCCTATTCTACCGATACTTCTGGAAACCAAAAGGCGCGGTCTCTGTTTGCCTTTAGGTTACATTACTGTGAGTCTATTTTTTAGAAATTAGAGTTTTTACTGACAAAGCACACAGTGCATGTGTCAGGCTGATGGGCTTACTGACCATCTCAGTCATTAACAATATCTGCTCAACCATTTTTCAAGGCAAGGATGGAATCTTGTTTAGTACATGTTCATACCCCCAAAACATGCTTTGGGGTTAATTTACCGGTAGTCAAAAGTTCCATATGTACAGAAATGGGTAATTTGAACATTTACAAGTACGAGGTTCATGCCAGAATGTCTTTCTCCCGCTTCACAGTACAGCTTATGGTGCCCAAGATTCCTTCCCCACCTCCAAAAATAGTCCAGCTGTTATTGTCAGTTGCTGTGACAGTCGGTTGGGCCCCCCCCCTCTCAACACATGCACAGTGTGAGGCACATGAAGGGAGCAATGTGACTGTCGTGTAGAAAATGAGAGATTGGTAGATGAAAATTTAAATTTTTCAAAAACAGTCGATCAAAGGGTCAAAAAATCTCTTTTTAATCAATTTTCAAGAGACATAGGTATGCTACATGTAGGACGGCTCTCCCTGAAAAGGTTGATTGAGAAATTAGCATTTGTGTCGCAAGTAAATTGCCTCATGAGCAGAGGCTCGATTCAAAAACAGATGGATATGGGCAAAAGGCACCAGGCAGTGCAGTTTGGTTTGGAGAAGTAGACTGCCCCTCGCCCTACGTGTGCTTCAGAAACTGTAATAATATAAGGCATAACCCTGTATGCAGTACAGCACAGCTTGACAAAGGCTGTGGGCTTTTGAATGCAGTCCAGCTAGATCAGATCACATGTACTGCACTCACAAATTCAGTACATGATGCAACCTTGAAAAGCTCCGTTTTGCTTCTCATGGCTTTGTACCCTTCGTCCACCCTTAGACTGACTGGGCTGCTTGCACACTGTGCAGGACAGGACAACAAGGTCTGGAGGTTCTTCAGAGGGCGCAACAACGTAAGGTGGAATGGCCACAGCAGCCCCACCACACCAAGCCACCAATACAGGTAATGTATATTGCTCTGAAGTCTCTGTTCTGTTTTGTTAACCTGTATAAATGATGCATAAATGCATGTCCATGTGTAGAGTATATGGAGATTGAAATCAACCCTGACCGTGCCAGACACAGCAAAGTCCACAAGGTGGAAAAGTCTGGTGCATTTTGTTGCACTGGGCACTTGAGAGCAGCTCAACAAACAGGCCATGTTGAGGCAATGGGCACTAGTCCTATTCAACAATGCCACTGTTGGATTCTTTGGTGGTGGGCAACCACAGGCTCCCAGGTCATTTGGCCTTGGGCATAGTAAAGGGAAATGAACAGATCTTGTTGCACTGGTCAGTCAACCCACTGTGACAAGTAATGAAGACTGATGCATCTGGCAGGATTTCTCGCCAAAATACCCTGGAGGGTTAGCGTGGAAGACTTTCTTCTAACCTATGGGACAAATGCATAGAAGACTGGTGAAGACTCTATCAGAAGTTACCCCATCAGTTTTTGCTGCAATATTCAGTGGTAACTTTAGGTTGAGGGTGACATTTCCATGGTAAATGCTGGTTTTCGTTCTCCCCTGTTATCCCTCAGGATGCCATGATGCATACTTCCATTGATGAAGCCTTTACAAGCATTTTACAGTACATGTCCACCACAACCAGACAGTGTCGGGTAAGTCAACTCAAGATGGGGTTAGGAGATAACAGATAAATCTACCCATGGAAAGATTTAAGAGATTAGAGTGATAAAAAAGAAATGACTACCTACAAGGCTTTTCTGTAGAGATATTGAGTGAGGCCAAGTTGAACTTAATCATTTGCATTATAAAGCTAATATAGGAGCATCGGAATTTAAAACTGACACCACTCTCAGAAAAGCCAGATTTAGAGTGTTTTATGCTCCGTCTTATTTTCTTTACTTGATTGGCTCATTCTCTAGGTGACACAGACCAGTATTACTACGTAGATACGAATAGCATGATTCTGGATACGTCCATTTTTCAAGGGTAATTGTCAGAGATATCATAAATACACCCATGTTTCTGACAGAGGCAAAAACTGTTCCCAGATTGTTTTCAGTTGAGTACAGCTAAGGGTGTTTATAATTGCTGAAAAAAAACTTCTTTGAGTTTGGCTCCAAAGACTTGAAAGGTTATTAAGTTGGACGGCTTTTCCATGAAAATCAGGTAAGCATTGACACTGGAAGATCTACACAGAGTATAAGCTGCTTTTCAGGGTTTGTCTCAAAAGGCAGAAATTTCCTGTTCCCGCAGGAATGGCCCTTAATGGAACACTATTCCTAGGTTAGCTACAAGCTCACCTAGACCCCTCTCCCAATTAAGAACATGCCTGTTCTAAGAAAAAAATACAGTTGGTGTCCCTGATTGGAACAATAGTGTTCTCTGTGAAATATTAAGTGGACAATCCCTTCTTTAGGGGCTTTTTTCCCGTTGGGATATTTGAGAACTGGCAAGAAATGGCAAGAAGTTCATATTCTCTCTCTCTGTCCTCAAAATAAAAACACTGCCAGTAGAGGAAATGGAGACTAGATAGATTGCAAAGGTAACCTCAGACTGATGCGCAAGCTGGAAGAAGTTTTAAAAAATTGATTGTAGCAAACAAGTAGAAGTGTTAAAAAAGTACAGATTGCCCTTTAGTGCTCTGACTTGAAGGCATTTTTTTGCACGACGCAATCTTCCTTTTGCAATCTTCATCAATGTTTTTAATTTTCAAACAGCGGTATTACCGAAGCGTCCCTCCTGCTCAACACAATCCATCAGACAAACAGCATGTTAGGCGATTCCACACACCACAGTATACAGAACTACACAAGAAACACCCGGTAAGTTCACATGGCGTATTCACAGAGTTCTCTTTTCTTTGCTTTGTTTTGTTTTGCGGGGAGGTAGTTTTAATTTTTCTTTTTTTTGTTTTGGTGAGGGGGGAGGTAATTTTAACTTCACTTTTTATGGGTAAAAGATGTTCTGCTGAAAAAGCTCTTACATGTTTCTTTGAAATAAGTTCTAATTGAAGGATTATTTTGAACGAAAAATGAAAATAACAAAGCATATTTGAATTAAACTTCAAGTCAGTCCTGATGTCTGATTGTATAAATACAGATGCTTTTATTTTAAGGTCTTTTCAAAGAAATTAAAAGTTGAATTTAATCAATTTTTCAAAACTTTTAATAGTGTACAATGCATGATCATTTCTCATCAAGCAAAATTTGAATTTCTTGCATCTTAATGAAATTTTTGTGTTTAATTTGGTATCAGAGCTATTGGAAACAGACAGACAAAGGTATCACAGGACTTCCTTTCTTTCCTGTCTACAAATTGAAGTTTGATGCAATCGGTTGTAAGACACTGTTGTTTGTTACCGCATACATGTAAGTTGAACTGGAATTCTATCTTCATCACACAGTTGCTTCATTCAGAAGATGTCCATGTTGTGGTGGCCCCAGGAACTTATGCTGTGACCGCTGGTGCCTGGGGTACAGCGCAGCAGCAAACCCACGTCGTTCACGTCAACAAAGGGCAAAGCGTGGATTTGGACTTTGTACTTTAGCCGGTGGTCTTGCTTCCCATTAACCATTGTCTGTTGAAATCAAGTACGCCTTGGAGTCGGTCATCACAGGATACATGCGTGCACCTGGTAACCTGATGACTGCTAACCGTGTTGCACCATTCATTTGGCTGAGACGTTACCCTTGGCCTGGCTGTTTTTGCCTTTGAACAGCGCTCTGGTTTCATGGACTTGATTGCAAGAAATAGAGCCGCTGTATGTGATGAAAACAGGAAGAAATCCACACACTGTAAAGACAATTTTACAAATTTCATTTCTTTGGAAGTAAATTTCTCATTAGAGAAGAGAAAACTCCAGTTTCTTTCAAGAATAAACGTATCTGCAACCTAGGTTTTCTTCAATGGACCCGATTACAAAATGACAATTTATAAAACAGAAATTTAGATCATCCAAAAATATTGCATGAACTGTTTGCTGAGGAAGTAGGATTTGGCCATTTCTGAACAAAACATTCTTGACAATGATAGTTGCCGCAAAATTTCACATTATGCCATGTTGCCACACACTGAAATTTAGAACTGTTGAAGCCCAGGAAATGGGTTTGGCTGATTTCACTGATCTTTGTAAACCCTACCAATGTGAAATCATGTTTTTGTGAGAATTAAAGAATGGTGTTTTTAGCATCATGTGTTCACATGCTAAGCATGGTGAAACTCCTTGATTGAATTAGTGAGAAACTCCTTGATTGAATTAGTGAGAAAAGGCAATGTGAAAACCTTGATGTTTCCTGCTGGATCACAGTACATTCATCTGGAAGTTGTATTGTAGATGTTTTTTTGTCACTTTAGGATTTTTTTAAAGATTGGGTGAATAAAGTCTTGGAAACCATCAGGTATTGTGTGACATTCAATTAGTAGGAGCTGTTGGCGATGTTCTGTCAGTAGGAGATAAGGAAATGTTTCCCTTGCCACAAAAAGTGCATGGTGGTGAGGGGTGGGGAATCAAATGGCACCCCCTCCTGTTAAAAAGTGGGGAGGATTATACCGGGGTGTTTCAGGGCATTCAGCAGGAGCGAACTTACAAACCACCAAGGGGTGTGGGCATGAGCATAAACCCAGGGGACTTTTTCCTGGTTAGAAAAAAAATTAAGGCAAATTAGGATGAATTTGTCTTACCAACAACCACAATGTATTCAATAGCACTCAAAAAGGGAGAATATATGTAATTTCCATGGCCGGGCAAGTCGTTCCGGGCCCCAGCCACATACATTATTACACGCCCACACAAATCCCCATCTGCCACACCCTCCAATTTCTGGTACAAAGTTCCATCGCGGGACGTAAGGCATGGTAATTTCAAGCACATTGGTTATTTTAAGCAACTTTTCTCGTTTTCTGGCCTTGACTATTAGTCCCCCCCATCCGTCATCGGCCTCGGCTCAGTAGTACGCAAACTTGTACGTGTGCCAGAGAGGGCGCTATGGCATTGCGTCAGCTGCATTTTATTTCGTGAAGTTCATGTTGATTCGCCACCAGCGCTTCGGCCTTCGTAGAATTATGCTAATTTGCCACGTTTTGTCGTTTTACCGACACGATGTGTGTGAAAGATCAGCAAAAGTGTAATGCTGACTTTGTGTTCCTATGTCAAAATCATGTCTCATCTTGGAAACACGTGATTCGATCAGAGGAACCATCGAAGTTCTAACGTTAGTTCAGAGTTGTCACTCAGTTGTGGTGAGTTGGGGCAAATTTGATTTGTCAGCGTGGTGACTTGAACTGTTCCTTGCTCTATGGTTGAATAAGGCTAACTGAGCAAGGCAGCTCAGACATTCACTGTCATAGACAGGACGAGTGCAAGGTGGATACAAAGATTTTGTCCCAGACATTTAGGATAGGGTCAGAGCTAGACTAACCGTACTCACCATGCTCACGGTCATCAGGTCATGATGGTTGGTACAGTACATCAATATGTACATTGCGTATGTATAGGGCGTACACCTTTATGTACATGATGACATGAATTATTGATGTACTCTAACGTTACATTGTATGGACATGACGAATGCTATGGATGGGTAGTGTGAAGTACTTAATTATTGCTTGTTTGATGTTCGACATTCAATGTTGAACGAGTAGCCGTTTGATATTTGAATGTTGAATTAGTAATGCACCTGTCAATTGTAATCCCGGACCCAGGACTAACGGGGAAGATAAAAACAGAGCCAGCGTGATAGTATCGGCCAAGTCCCCGTAATTTGCCCGGCCAGGGCGGGGCACCCTTTTTTGTATTCCCCGGCTGATCCCCGGCCCCAGCATGCCGGGCATCATTGTGGTAACCCCCTCGCAATCCTGGGCCTGGCGTGCCGGGCATTGTGACCAATCCCCGCACTGTGCCTGCCCCAGCATGGGGGGTGGTGACGCAACAACCGTACAACTAAAAATAAATAATAACTTTCATTAATTTCTAAAAGTCTCCTACTCTTCTGGGTCATTGCTAAGATGACATCGAGTCGGTTGCCGTAAACGCAGGTAAAATGCCACTGAAATAAAGCAAAGCAAGGGGCAGCTGCTATAATTATCCCAAACTTTGGCAAAACTTTCATCTGCATATCTGAAGCACCAGAATCAGGGGGCCGACGACCCAAATCGCTACAATCTTTCTTTGCGAACGTCTCAGAAATAGTTATGGAAATTCATCCAATAGCAAAATTTGTTACACGCTGTGTGGAGACCAATTGACCAATTGAAACGCTCGTTATGTACATGTGGCCATGGCCAGTGCCAGCCCATGAGACAATTAACAATTATCACAACACTTCATTTGTTCATTGAAGATTGGTCTAGAAGATAACCAATGATTTGAAATGTATTGCCAAACAAAAGACACGTGACCAGTGTTACTTGGCTGAAAGATTAAATTACACGTTTTAATCGTTTAGCAGTCCATAGTAAGTGGCGGCAATGTTTGTAAAAAAAAGGAAGGTCTGTATTTTGCACGCACTGATCCCAAAATGAGGCGTCACCTTTGTCAGGTTTTCCTCTGTCAGGGTAGGGGAAACACTTTGTATTTTATATCAAAGCTCAGTGCTATAAAATTTTACCGATAGACGATGTAACAAATTGTACAACCCCGGCCAAGTCCCCGCTATCGTCCTGGCCGGCGGGGCTCCTTTTTTTGGACATCCCCGGCTACATTTTCGAAAGTCCCGGGTCCCCCGGGCCCAGGATTACAAATGACAGGTGCATAACCACTTGAAATTCAGGATGCACATCCCTAAGAGCAATGGAGTGCAAAAGGCATAGAAAACAAACTGTCATGACTGTGCCAACTACATGTACATGTATCGGTACATTTCAGGGCTTGTTTGACCCAAAACAACGTGAACAACCCCATGCGTACATGGATACATGTACATGTGAATGGATGTGCATGGTGGTGGAGTGTGTTTTGGGGTCCTTTTGCACTCCATCGCTGTTAGGGATGTGCATCCTGAATGTCACACGGTTACTTATTCAACATTCAAATGTCACACGGTTACTTATTCAACATTCAAATGTCACACGGTTACTTGTTCAACACTGAATATCAAACGTCAAACAAGGAACTACATGTAACTTTACAGTTCATGGATGTACTGGTAGGCCATGTACATGTAGGCCTACTGTGTGTTTGACTGACATGACTGATGGTCTTGAAAATGTTAGGCCTACCCCCCAACTATAGCATAAGTCCCAACTGTAGTGCTGCCCAACTATTGTTGACCAATGTCTGTGGGAAATGTCTCAACATTATCCAAATCAATGTGTCTCACACTTGACACAATTCATCTAAAATGTGGCACTGTACCTGTTCATCTAGCCGTATGACCAATGACATGACATTTGTAAGCAATATGACTTTGGCACATGCTGGGCACATCATGCACACAGGGCTTCTCTGCTGTAGTTTGGCCGGTCCAACTGTAGCACTCTAGTTGGGGCGGGCCCAACTATAGTTGGGACTGACGCTATACATGTAGTTGGGGCATAACAAAGACATGATGATTCACTGAAATAAACTTAAAAATCAGGCCTACATGTACTTCAGTGTACGTTTAACCCGAGTAACTACTGTAGCATGACTAGGACTCTGCAAATCACCTCATTTAACATTTGGGCATGTTGGACATCAGGCTTGTGCGAATCCACACTGGAATTGGATAGAACTGATTCCAAATTTGGAATCGGAGTCACGATTCCACGTTTTTACGGAATCAAATCCACACCACTGCCGAGTCCGTAACCTCGAGGTCTGATTCCGGGAACAGTCCAGCAATTCCAAAAGACTGCCCTATAAAATGATCCGTTGATTTTTTTAAAAATGTGTGGTTTTATGCCAAATCAATGAGCCTAAACCGTGCGGCGTTATTTTCGTTGCCAAAAACTGAAGTCTGTGACGAGACGTGGCCCACATGCTTTGCAGAATTGCAGCGGCACCATGCAGTACTCCAACCCATTTGTCTGCAGCACGCCGATGGCCCACTGTTGGCTGCATGCCAATTGTGACTCTTTAACATGCTGAGCATTTGGGTGCAACATGTACATTGTGAGCGATGAAATCTACATGTACATCAAGTTTTTCCCACTTGCCAAATTCCTTGCAATGAAATTTCTTGTTGCTGGTTACCCTCTATTTCTTATTGGAAACTCAATTGTAACATCTGAGAATAGACACCAATTAGAAACTCATTCCTTGGAGTGTTTATTACTTCCAAAAAAAAAGTCTTCCCCTGGACCAACGATGCATTTTAATCTTCAAGATCGAAGCAAACTGTGGTGGAAAAAGTAGGCCTAAATGTACATGTACTTCGTCACATGTATATTACAAAAATTTGCTCAGAAATGAAAGAAAACCCTAAACGATGCAGCCCTTTGCCTGACATTAATTCTCCCTTTACCATGAAATACTCAAAATACGAGTAACTGTTGAAGCATTTGAAAATTCCCATGATGCCAGCTTTTGGAAAATTCCCCAAATCCCACAAAGTTTGACATAAATCAGCGGTCCGAAGTTGTTTAAAGTCAAACATTTCCAGGGTTTTCCAACTAAACTTAAACCATTCACAAGAAAGAGAAGCTGGTGAGATCGGCAATGGCATCAGCCCAGGTGGAGATCGGTGTTCAAATTCATGCATGTTTCTAATAGTCCTGCATGCATTGACAGCTCTCGCTGGTGCACGAACGTACGGACCTGTGGCTGTGGGCCGACTGCAAGCATTTCTTTGCGGATGCTTCGTGTTTGAGTCTGAGATACATGTATGCACCATGATTACCATCATTCACTCTGCCAAAACACCCAATCTTTATTCTTTGACTACTTTTCATCCTTCATTTCTGCCATGAAGAAAAGAAATTCTACTCAACCTGTTGAGTGAATTGAAGGTCAAATGAGCAATGATCAAAATTTCTCATCTCTGCCTTGGAACAAGACTAATGGCCTCGTGTTGAAGCTGGTAGTGGGCATACACATAGGAAGAATGTAGCTTTAGGCATGTTCACCAGCGATTGCACGAACAAGCCACTGACGCAAGTGGTGCTCTGTGGTGTGCAAGCAGTCCAGTTTTTGATGGAATTTACAATCGAAAGATCAAGAAAACTATCATAGTTCATCGTCGGTGGAATAAGGTCACATTTTTTGGGACTTTAAGGGAAAAAATATTTCTTCAGTACGTTTTTGGCAGCATGAAAATAAAGGTGCAGTACATACCTTATGTTTCTTTCTTGTGAAATATGCATTTTAGAACTCATGGTCACTTCTACATGTATGTAAACTGGAAAACTTGAATGCCGGCAGGCTATGTAGATTGATAATCTTTCATGTTTCTGATGCAATAAAAGGGGATAATTTTTAATGACACGAGTGTTTAGGAAACAACTTACAAGTGCATTGTGCATGTAATCTCGGGTATACTCAAATGGCATTCGCACATGTAAAAATTGGAATCGATTCCAAAAATGCTGGAATCGCCCAACGCTGTTGGACATGGTCATCAGTCATGGCAGTAGTACACAGAGTCCTATAACCTGAAATCACTCAAAATGTAGCTCGTACCTTGAGTACCTACTTTTAGAATTCAAAGTCACTGCTCCGTCACTACTTATGTGACTTGGAGCCAATGTACCTGAGTAGTTACACTACATGGGTTTTTTAATCGAACTTTTGAGGTGAATGATCTAGCAGCTTGAACTCTGCTTTTCAAGCAAATTTTCCTGTGAGAGCAAACTTGAGGTACCTATGTGTAGCTCCTAAAATGGGTATAACAGGGGTGTCAGAGCACGAGACCAAATATTTTCTTAAAAACTGAGATTTGTACTCAACACTCTCTTGTTTCCACCCAACAATGATTGCACTGTTCATGCCATTTGTGTTTATCACATTTGGCATGTGTTTGTTCTGCACCATTTGTGGAGGTGAGGGACTTCTAAGATCATGCATGTCACGTGTCTCAATGGTATTAGCTTACACGTCACGACGGTCGCACAATGAAAACAAGTAAAGATGCCAACCCCCGCCACCGAAAATGCATGCACAAATGAACGAGCTTGCAATCGACAGAGATTATTGAGAACATCCAAAGATTGACAGATGACATAGCTGACAAAATTATGTATCCGACAATCTCATTTACCAAGGGCAGGAAGGTCACGGCCAGCAATCACTGTTTCAGCGCGTTACTTTTGGAAATGAAAAGTTTATTTCAACAGAATCTTATGCTGCTTTTCTGCATGAAATTTGAGAAGGAAGTAAAACCTTTCTCCCAAGAAACGAGCATTGGTGAGGCTCTAAACTTGTATGTGTATGTGCTAGCTTACCTTTTTCTTCAACTGTATCTGCCTTGAGCAGAAGCATCGGTTGAAAAGATCCACGTTGGTGGGGGTTCATTTTGAATACGTGTAGCAACACGACCATGCATGTAACATGTACGTGTATATATGCCAGAGTCATTGGTGATCCAGTGAAGTGCTGTTCCCACCACAGGAGCCTCCGTTGCTAGGAAAATTGTGCCCTCTCTTGGTCTGCATTGGGCTCACTTGTAGACTCCTCATTCATTTTCATTTGGTTGTCTCCTTTGTATTACATTTTTCTAGTTGAAAGATTTCCTGAAAAAATTTGAAAAATGAAAAAATGCTGGGATGTGCTCTGACACAAAATGTGAAATTTCATGCCATTGGCAAGTTACATGTACTGTAGTAAGAATTGCATACCTTTTCACCATGTTCACACAAATTTCAATGTCTTATTTCACGATAGTCAAAAGGGAAAAAATACTTGAGCCTTAACCCTAACACTCCTCAATCCTTCACCTCTTGGAGGACTGAGGAGTGTCAGGGTTAATACAGGTCAGCAAAATTCCTGGCCATTAAATGTTAAACCATAGAGCTGGGTTGTAGCTCTATGGTTAAACTATGTACAATAGTGTATTGTCATGATTGTTGAAGAGAAACGTGGACAGGCAAAATTCTGGTTTCCTGTGCAGTGTACATGTAGTCTATACATGTATGTACCATTTTTTTTGTAAGGAAACAATCTCAAACAAATATCATCCAGTACAATACATGTACATAATACATTGTACATTGTATTTTGGTTTTGAGTAAACAGACTGAATTGCTGATTGTCGTATTCATCAGTCATGCTAATGCGGGGTCACTGGTGAATTTGATGCAGTTTACAGTACAGCATTCAATGTATGTACATGTACACAGAGTTTTGATTTTACAAGACCCTGCCGTCCCCGTTCCTGGCCCCTGTAGGAAACTTCAATTGAATACTTGGGAGTTGAGGTGGGTCTCTGTGTCATTTTGGTTAACCTAAAACCAGAATAATGCTTGCACGAAGCCGCGAGGTGTGCATGATTCAGAGCAGTCCCACAAATGGTGAGTTCAGGCCCGTACAAAAGCTGGCATTTGTGACCCGATAAATTGAGTCAGTGATGTGTGAAGCATTTAGTCTGGCGATAAAGGGGAAGAACTTTGCCACACGTCAGCAGAAATAGTGAACTGACATGTGCATGTACATGTACATGTACTGGTACCTGTAGGCAGACATACATGCAGTACAGTGTACATGTACATGTACATCAGTATATGAATAAAGTTATCTGGAACTGTCGCATGTAAGTATGTAAAATATATGTGTATATTTTCAAAGTCCACTGAGTCCACACTTTGCCATCGCGCCCTACATTACAGTAGGTGGACTTCTTTTGTTCAGAGGTCCCCACTATGTATTGTATGCCACGCCTGCACAATCCAACAGGCTTGATCTCTCACAAGCATTTCACGTACATGTACTTGCCTTGTTGTACAGTATAAAATGTCTAATGCTATGCTAGCAAGACCACAAGAGAGCATGGTGTGATTGTATGCTATTGTATTTCTACAGCATACATGTACATGTGGAAGATTTTTTTGTGAAATATAAACCCTTAATTTTCACCTTTGGCTACAAATCCAATTTTAAACCAAACAATGAGCCACATGCACATGTTTAAGATAAAGATTACATGTATGGAGTAACTGAAAGTACCAAAGTGTGACATCGTTTTAAACCAGGAAGTTTAGCTTACACGAATAGAGTATGCGCATCTTTGTTCACGTACTTGTTCTCGCGCTAATGCCTGTTACACACGTACATGTATATAAGTAAGCGTGTGATGCAGTCACTTTGTTAGTCTGTAGATGTATGGTACGGTGTAGGTACATGTACATGTACATACATGTATACATGTACATGTATGCTCCTTAATCAGCCATGAACCAACAGTTAAATAGAGCTTCAGTTTTCATTGCATTCTCTTTACAGGTATATTTGGCATCAAGAAGTCGTGATTCCCGATTGTACATGTAATTGGCTGCCTCTTCAGAAGTAGAAGTTCCGGACATCAAGAGGTTTGTCTGTACATGTTTTTGTACATGCACATCAATTTTTTAGCAGTTACATGTACCGTACATGTAGCATTGGTTAGATAGAACCAGTATATTTGATCAGTCAAAATGCAGGTACATTGTGTTACATGTGTACATGTACAGTGTATGTACATGTACACATTGTTTTTTTATTGCACCTGTGCATGTACCTCTGCATGTACATGTAGACATGCTGCATTTACATACAGTACCTGCAATGTACGAATACTCATTGGAAGATCCAGGGGACCAGCAGGGGGGGATGTCCGTTCCCCCTCCTCCTAGGGCAGAAACAAATTACATGTATACTCTTGGAAAAGTCATGAGAAAAAAAAGGGATTTGTTTGCACGTAAATCTGTTGTCTATCCCTTTTTCCTTTCCAAAAGCAAACAAAAGCCTTAGAATGTAGCCTTACCCCTCAGAAATGTTGTCCACGTAAATGAAAGATTTGTTAATTTTTTTTTGTCTCCCAAAAAATTGGATCTGAATCTGCCTGGTGATTACTCCATACATGTACCACGAGTACATGATTTTCTTTTTGAATGCGGTTGCATTGTACCCGGTACTTGGGTCATTCCAGATATTAGGGGTCCAAAAGTGTGACATTTTTGTGTCCCTGTTACATCTGACCTTAGTTATTTGATAAGGAAATATCACCGGAATTGATTTCAAACTACAATGTATTGCAATTTGTTTGGCAGGCACTTTGCCCTGCCTGTAATTCATCACTCTTGGAAATTAGAAAATGTGTTCTGAACTTACAAAATCACGTCAGATGCGACAGGGACACGAAAAAAATGAACCCCTAAATTACCCACGTACAGTGTACATGTACCGGTACATGTACGTACGTCTACTAAAGCACTGCATGTTGCCTTGCCTCAGAAAGACTGTTTTTGCAGTGCATCGTGGGAAGCAGTTGACGTCTGCACAGTTGTATTCGAAGGTGCTCAAGAACTTCGCAGTTTCATGTTTTGGCTATGCAGTGACTTAAAAATCTGTGTAACAACAATGTACATGTATGTGTGGGACTATAAATTTGCATTGGTGTGTCGTGTACATGTACATGGGGGTATGTGTGGTAGAGGAAATATAGTACCTGGTACATGTACTATCCGAGCAGACGTGCCCCCATACATGTCCTACAACTGCAAGGACGCATGTACAGTACATGCACAGATAATTCATTTCGGCTCTTTTTCAACTACGTACATGTAAGTCCAGTTGAAAACTGCAAATGGTCTTGTTCCTGAATTAGCCATTTTTTAGCTTGTTCCTGAAATCGGTGCTCTAAATAGCTGAATGGAATGGTGTCAGACTTTTTTAGAACTTTTGGGGGTCCCAAGCCCTCCCTTTTTTTTTTCTAAATCTCTCATAAAACACTAAAGTTCGTTTTTATCCCAAATTTAATTTTTCTCATCAGAGTATACGGGTAATCATTTGTCAGGGAATTGACTTTATTCCTGCACAAAACCTCTCAAGTTGAAAAATGAAAATTTGCAATGTAACTTACCGGTACATGAAGCTTTCAATTTCAATATGGCCGACTGAAGAATAAGGCTCATGCATACATTACATGCGCTTCATTATATTTCTAATGTGTAATACATTTGCTACCAGTACAAATGGGTCATTCTATAAATTTGGGGTCTGATGTGTGACACATTTTTCTGTCCCTTTCACATTCGACCCGTGTGATTTGACAAGGGATTTCACTGAAATTGATTTCAATTTTTTGTTATTTTTAAACTAGTTTTATTTGTTTGGTTGGTAATTTGCATTACTTTAAAAAAACAGGGAGAGGATAAAACTTGCTTCAAGTTTATACAATGACCCATGTACATTTGGACATGTACATTTAAATGCAGGGCATAGACTCTGAAAAAAAGACACAAAAGGCTTCTGGTACATGTACATGTAACCACAGAACAAAGAATGTTTTCTGGCATCCTAACACTGGTGCATCACTTTACATCATGATACAATGACCCATGTACATTTAAATGTACCTGGTAGTGTATAGACTCTGAAAAGAAGATACAAAAAGCTTCTGGCAACTTAAAAAACAAAGAATGTCTTCTGACATCCCAACACTGGTACATCACTTCATACAAAACCCAGTGTCTTCTATAGGCCTGCATAATGTACTACCACACGTATACATACATGTATTTGTACAGTGTACATTCCTAAAAGCTCAGTTTCTGCAAGTTTACGGCTTATTTGTTACAGTGAATGGTATCAAGTGAACTGTACGTAATTCCTTGACTCCTTGACCTTTAAAAAAAACGCATGCACTTACATGTGTAAATGATATTACAGATCTTCCATGTTAACGTGTACCGGGTATGTACGCCATGCAGGTACACTTTAGAGGTACATGTACATGTATGTAGTACACATCAAGCCATGAGCTAAAAATATTTCCTGCACTTCTTCAGACTGCACTAATGTTTGACTAATGAGATTTTTTTGTATTACAGTATAGTACATGTACATGTATACATGTACATGTACATGTTCTGTTGCCAGTAATAGTTTGTGTGCTTAGTGCATGTTGGAAAGTGGGCTGATGAAGCGCGTTTCAAGCATTGTTTTCAAGGTGTCCAGATATACATGTACATTGTACATAGTACACTTACATATTTGCATAGACCATTAATACAGTACACCATGCACATACATACATTTACCCAATACTTACATTTTTCAAGTTTTGGCGTGAATTTCAAAGTACCTGAGTGCACATTTACAAGTACTTCGTATGACGTTTGTCATCTCAGCTGACTTATTATCATGCTAACCTGTCAATAAAATATTTATCCTCATGGCACTTGTGCATTTTTGGGTTCCCTCCATTCATAACAAGCATGACAAGTAGATGTCATAAAAAGCTCCTGTGTTTGTTATGGAGCACATATACACAATAGTACATGTACTTCAGAAACCTGAACATTTAGCCTTCCCCAGAGAATAGGCCAATGGAAAGACCAGACTGACAATTTGCCCGGTTTCCTGCCTTGTTGGTATTTGTTCTGCAGGTGTCTACGTTGCATGTGAGCCAGCCATTGGTCCAGCCGGCTTGCTGCGGTTGCTTTAATGGCATACAGGCAGCTCGGTGGCGTACCATATAATGCTAGTAGTATAGACAGTGACTCAGATTCCTTGGATAGTGATCGTGGTTACACTTCACGGTGAGTCAGTGGAACATTTCAAATTTTTGGTAGAGGTTGTAGAGTTTCCACCTATTTACATGTATACGCACTATTTGCATGTGTATTCATTTTTGGCCTGAGTTGAACTCAGCCGAGAAAACAAATGCTTGTGTGGTTTGGTAAGACGTACAACTATCAGGACCACCGCATTTGAAAATTTGGTCAAAGTAATTAACACACCAAAGGCCAAATAAGTATATAACAAAGATTTTTGGTGTTTGTCATCAATGGATGTACATGTATTGCATCATGTTTTCTGAGAGTTACACACACACAGCTCTACATGTACGTAAATGTACAATTGTGTGACTGTATGCACCTATGCATACAATGTAATGTCATTGAAAAAGTAAAGTTTCGTCAGGTTGGACAAACTATTTGATATTCATTTCAGGTCTAGCCCTGTGCTTACCTTTTATGTGTAAATATTTACCACATTTTGGCATGTTTGTAGACTTTTGAAGGAAACTGACACCATTTTGTAATAGTCATGATAGTATGAACCTATATGTAGGGGTACATGTACATGTGCCTGTAACACACCGCTACATGCACGTGTACGTGTACAGGCATTTATGTTTTTTGTAGATGTACTTTGGGATGTAGCCCCTGAAACGTTTTATCTTACTGTACACAGTTACATGTATACCTGCATGGCTTTTGGTTAGATCTTAGAAAATGGTAGTCTTAACAAAAAGCATGTTACATCTACCTACATACCGGTACATATATTTACGTTCATAACAAGGTTTGAAGAAAATTGAAGAAACAAACAGAGTTTTCTGGAAATGACTGCTGCAGTGAAAAACTGATCTTTAATATGAGATGAATTCAGATAATCTCTCAATAGGTCAAGGAAATTGCATGCAGGATAGTCAGTACCCCAGTTTACCGGTACATCTTTGAACATCCAACAGAAGGTTTTGCTCTTCTGTACCACATACTTAATTGTTCCACTTTTCCTTCATCAGGATTTCTTGAACATTTTGCCTTGACATCATTGATTTTAAGTCTTCTTGGCTTTCAGCCCAATAAGGCTACACGCATCGGCATTGCACTTCATGTCTTATTCCTGTCCCTTGTACATGTAGTTGTTCTCATTCCTGTGTCTGTGCAAACATGGCTGATAAGTCCAGCAACACGTCACCAACCCACTCCTGTTTGAAGCCGACCAGCGAGAGCAAGGCCCCGACGTGCCGGGCCAGCAACCAGCCCCGCAACAGAGCACGCTCAGTCAGCGACATCGACAGCAAGGGCGGGATGCGTAATCACTGCCCCTTTGGCAAGCTTCCAGAGAGGGTAACCCTGATTGTCGATCACACCCGATTCGTCGTTGACCCCTCGCTGTTTACAGCTCACCCCAACACAATGCTTGGCAGGTTAGGGCTATTTGAACATCATATAACTTTTTTTTATTCTACTTGAAATCTGTTTGAGTGTCCTGTGTTGGTTAATAATGCTATTCAAAGAGTCCCTCAAACGGCCGTATGTTTACTTAGTAAAGGTGGTGAAGCACAAACTTATAGATGTAGTCCTTGTAAATTTACAGAACCAATGCCCACACACCAAACTGAGCAGTTTTAAATTGGTGAGTTTCATTTTGTTTCGACACCTTCAACTACCAAAGATCGAGCACCTGATATGTCTGTAGTTGATCTATGATCAATGAACTTTGAAAGTTGGAAATATCACCCAAACAAAATGGGTGTAATTTGTTTGTTTGTTTGTTTGTTTGTTTTTGAAATATTGGAGGATATCCGTTGTTCTGCTATAAATACAGATATACACATTTACACAAATTTCATGCCAAAATGATGGGCCCCTGCCAAAATGCTGTAGCTTTAAGTGCTCTTTCAAAATGAGGAAATAAGCTCAAAAGAAGTGAATCACCATGACTCAAGACAGTAACTCAATACAAGTGGGATAGCTGTCATGGTACATGTAAAGTAAAATCTCGATAACTCAAAGTCGGTTAACGGTGGTTAACACATAACTCCGCTTAACTCGAAAGAATAATTAATGTCTGCCGAAAGAATAGGCTTTTATGTACAAAAACATATCCGTAACTCGAACTGCTTATGTTGCCGGATTCGTTTACCTCAAAGTTTTGTGTAGCAGATCCAAAAGAAACCGCCACCTAAAAACTTCCAGAAAGTGTAAACAGAACGCGGGTTCTAGTTATGAATCATTTCTGACACGCACACTTAGTATCTTCACACCGGAACACCTGCAAGTACGCTACAATGATGATCGATCTAGACACGTAACCACTCTGTGACCACAAAACCCGACTTGCAGGAATTGGCCCAATTGTTACCGTGGGCCCATTGTAGCCAGTGCGTCGACAGGCCAACTAATGGCTCTTTGCGTTGGCTGTGGCAATGCATTTTACATCTTTGTGTATGCCGCACGCGTCACTCGTATGGAAGTTAAGTCTGGCCCAACTGCTTGTGCTCGCCCGTGCGATGGCTGCCCAATTACAGTCACAAACCACAGCATGCTCATACGCAGTGGACCAACCACGTGACTGCAACGCAGAGCTTTTGCGTAGCCAAATCTCACTCCTAAAAAATAAACTAAAGTTTGAAAATAAAGAACAAAAACAGACACAAATAGCATTTTTGTTTTTACAAAATTTTATTGAAGCGCAAAAAGGTGCGCCCTCATTTGATGAAAAAAGTTGTCTGACTCATCGGGAAACCCCGCCTGAGTACTAGTATGCATGTGCAAGGCACTGCGTTGCGGTGCGGTATTAGAAATGGGACCACCACAATGCGTCACACACGCACAGCGCAAAAGAAAGATTTGCCACACAAAGGCATACAGTTTAAATGATTTGCAGTACATGTAATTTGCGGCACCAAAGTATAAAATAACCACGTCATTTCAAAAGTTCTCGTAGGGAGATCTACGGTAACTGCGCGTCAACGTATAGGTACATGTTATGATACACTTTGTAATAATGACTTAACTTCAAAAGAATTCAGGACCTTCTTTTAACTCGAATTTCGGATAACTCAAATTTTTTGCCCATCCCCCAGAGATTCGAGGTATCGAGATTTTACTGTACTGGGATAGTGGAGTATATACTACAGGCAATACAGGTCATT